TCAGCACACAGCACTAACAACAACGTGTAGTCCTCACTAGCAGTATGTGGGGAGCTTAAGTAGCTGGATATTCCAGTTTTAGGCAAATTATTTTAAGAAGCAGCTAATTCATTGCCATTGAGCTGGACCTGATCCACTCCTACCTCACCCTCCAGCAGGTTTTCAGAGGCATTTCAATCAGAGGGAAGGCGATTGCCGATATTTCTCTTCCAGAGCTGTTGGTGAATTCAGGCCCCCAGAGAGGTGCCGCCTCACGGCCAGCGGTGTGCTCCATGGACTGCACCGGCAGAGCCCCTTCAGGTTTAGAAAGAATTCCCATTATCATGTGTATCTCATTCTCCAGACCTTTTGCCATCAGTGGCAACTGTGTTATGCCCTATTCAGAGGAGACAAACGGAGGCTGAACAACGTAGATGATGATGTTGTTAGGTGCCATCAAGTCAAGTATGACTCACAGCAACTCTGGACAATTGACCTGAACCCTGTCCTAGCCTGTGCCATCCTCATCAGTTCTGACACACTGAGTCCACTGCTGCAGTCACATCTCTCTTCCATGTCGTTAAGGATTTCCTTCTCTTTCACCAACCCTCTCCCTTTCCAAGCATGCTGTTCCTCTCCAAGGAGTAGTTTCTCCATAGCAACATGCCAACGTATAAAAGACAAAGCTTTGCCATCTTTGCCTCCCAGGAAAACTCTGTCTGCACCTTCTTCAAGACATAGTCGTTTGTACCTTTGGCAGTCGAGGGATATTCAGTACTTCTCTCTAACACCACAGTTCAAAGACTCGATTCTTATTCTATCATCCTTATTCATTGTCAAGCACTAAGACACATAGCAAGTGATTGAAAAGACCATGGCCTGAATTAGATACACTTTAGTCTTCAAACTAACATCACATCACTGTTCTTCAATACCTTGGAGAGGTCCATAGCGGGCATGCTGTATGCAGTATGTCTGCTGATCTCCTGACTACCAGTGCCAAAGGTGCTGATTGTGGATCCAGACATGATAAAATCATTGACAGCTTTGGTCCTTTCTCCATCTATCATGCTGTTGCCTGTTGGCCCAATGATGAGCAATTTTGTGTTTTCAGTGATGTGACGTAACCCATATTGAAGGCTGTAGTCTTTAATCTTCTGCAACAAGCTCCTCAAGCCATCTTCACGTTCAGCAAGCAAGGTTGTGTCATCTGCATAATGCAGGTTGTTGATGAGTCTTCCTACAGTCTTAATACCATATTCTTCTTCATAGAGTCCAGCTTTACGAATTATTTGCTCAATACAGAATGAATAGGTATGGAGAAAGGACATACACCTAGTGCACAACCTTCTTGTCCCATTCAGACAACAGCTTTGGTATAGGTAATAGATTTTGTATAAGCACAATTAATGTAGAACCAAGCAAATCAAGGCTAGTAGTGAAATTAATCTCCCATGTCATCTTATGTTTTTACTAATATTTTAACTTCTCATTTCAACTTCTCTTCTAACCCATATTCTATTTTCCCTGCAGCCTTGCTTTGAATCAGTCCCTCCCTGGGCTTCTCCTTTCCCAGGGAAGGATGTCACGTGTTTACCCAGCTCTACACTACACTGCTTGCTCCTTCAAGACAGGAGCAGTGTGTAGTGATTACTCAGTAAACGTGGCAGCAGCTAAGGATCTGAACTTTACAAGATGGCAGAGAAATCCTGATTTTAGTTCAGCTCTTGTAATATTTTTAAATGTTTTAAACAGACTTAACGCATAACCTTTTATAACTGTTATGTTATCATCTGTGTTCTGTTGTGTCACAGTCATCCCATAGCTGACCCTCCAGCAGGTTTTCAGAAGCAGTGAAGCACATGGAAAGATATTGCCCCTCTTTCTTCCATGGAGCAGCTTGTGGATTCAAACCATGTAACTTTGCATTGGCAGTGCAGTTCCTTACAACTAAGCCCCCAGAACTCCCTGTGGTCTGTCCATAAAATGGAGTATCATTTGGCCATTAAAAAAAAAAAAGTAGTAGTATCATAAGAGTCCAGAATGAAGGTTGCAGAGTGGAGTATACTTGGGGTGGGGGTGGGGGGTGGGGGAGATTGTATACCAATGAAGGAATTTTACTTTTCAAAGAGAAGAGTGAACAGTAGGTGGGGGTGGAGTGGGTAGGGAGAAAAGTGCAACAATGAATAAATAGAATTCCAAACTCTCTGTAAATGTTCATTGAAATTAATTTAAAAAAAAAAGAATGAAGTAGTGATAGATGGATTCAACTGCAATGAACCTTCAAAGAAAAACCTTTTTACTCAGTGAATGAGGTGTCACAAAAGACCACATATTGTACTATTCCATTTCTATTAAGTATCTAGAATAACTGACTCCACAGTGGCAGAAAGTAGGTTACTGGTTACCTTGTAATGGGAAGGTTAGGGGGTATGAGGAGTGGTTAGGGGGTATCAGGAGTGGCTGCTAATGACTGTAGGGGTCCTGAAGGGAAGGTGACAAAGGTTCTAAAATGTGTTGTGCTGATAACTGCACAACTCTGTAAACATGCTAAAAACCATTATATGCTTTAAATTTATTATGTAGTAATAGTATATTGATATATGAGCTGTTTTTTTAAAAAAAATAGATAATTTTTTAATTCATTTTTTTATGCCTACAGAGGGCAACTAAATGTGAAAGTCTTGTTACTAGCTTTCATTTAAACAATATAATTTAGGTGTAGGAAACAAATATTTCAATACTAACTCATAAAGCTCAACCTCAAGAAAACAAAGATTCTTAGCGCTGGGCCAGTTGGCAGCACAATGATGAATAGAGAAGGGATTTAGGTTGTTAACATTTTCAGTTTACCCAGTTCCACAATCAACATCATTGGTATTGCTGTTGTATGTGCTGTGGAGTCACTTGTGACTTATAGCAACCCTATGTACAAGAGCCCTAAATCCTGTTCTATCCAGTGCGAACCTCATTGTCTCCGACACACCTACTCCCATTACCCCAATCACAGAACTGATCCATCTCATCAAGGATCTTCCCCTCCTGCGCTGTCCCTCCACTCTCCTAAACATGATATCCTCTCCAAGGACTGGTCCCTCCTTGCAACATGTCTAAAGTGTGTCAGATGAGCTTCAGAATCCTTGTCTCCAAGGAGCAGCCCAGCTTCACGCTCTCCAGGACAAATCTGTTTTAGCAGTCTTCTCTAGCACCACAGCTCAAAGGCATCAATTCTCTTTCTATCATCCCTAGTCACTGGCCAGCTTTCTGATGCATAGCACACAAGTGCAAAGATTATAGTCCAGATCAGGCGCACCTTATTCTCCGGCCTAATGTCGTTACTCTTCAGTACTCTTGAGAGGTTCCTCACAGCTGACTTTCCCCAGTGCAGTTCGTCTCTTGATTTCCTGGCTGCTGTTACCAAGAGTGTTGACTGTGGAGCCATGCAAACTGAAACTGTTAACTATCTCAATCTCATCACCATTCATACTGATCCTGCCAGTTGGCCCAGTGATGAAAATCTTTGTTTTCTTGATGTTGAGCTTCAGTCCATATTGAAGGCTGCAGTCCTTGACCTTGTGCAGCAATTGCTTCAGGTCCTCCTCAGTTTCAGCAAGCAGGGTTGTGTTATCTGCATAATGCAGGTTGTTGTAGATCTCTCATGTAATACAATGTGGTGAATAACAGGATAGTATCCATACGCGTACAAGGAAGTCCAGTGAATAGCACTATCATTCAAATATATGCACCAACAACTAGAGCTAAAGAGGAGGAAATGGAATATTTCTACCAACTTCCGCAGTCAGAAATTGATCAAACATGCAATCAAGATGCATTGATAATGGCAACTGGAACGCAAAAGTTGGGAACAGGGAAGAAGGATCAGTAGCTGGAAAAGATAGACTTGGTGACAGAAATGAGGTTGGAGATTAGAATGTAGAATTCTGCACATTCGATGATTTATTCATTACAAATACCTTTTATAAGAAGCACAAATGCAGGCTATACACATGGATTTCACCTGATGGTATGCATAGGAATCAAATCTATTACATTTGTAGAAAGACTCGCTGGAGAAGCTCATTATCAGCAGTGAAAACCAGGCCAGGTGCTGACTGTGGGACAGACCACCTACTAGTCATATGCAAGTTCACTGAAGTTGAAGAAAATTAAATCATATCCATGGGAACCAAAATTTGACCTTAAGTCTATCCCATTCGAGTTTCAAAACCATCTCAGAAACAGGTTTGAGGCCTTGAGCATCTTTGGCACCACCAGTCAGGAAATCAAAAGGTGAATTTCATTGGGAAAATCTGCTGTCAGGTACCTCTCCTGTGAGCTAAAGAGCAATGATGTCAGTCTGGAGACTAAGGTGTGCCTAATCCAGGCCATGTCTTCACAGTTACTTGATATGCATCAGAGAGCTGGACAGTGACTAAGGGTGACAGAAGAATCAATGCCTTTGTATTGTGGTTCTGGAGAAGAGTATTGAACATATTGTGGACCTCCAAGAGAACAAATAAGTCTATCCTGGAGACGATGAAACCAACTTGCTCTTTGGAGGCAAGGATTTTGAAGCTCCTTCTCACGTACTTTGGATAAGTTGCCAGGAAGGACTAGTCCTTGGAGAAGGACATCAGGAGAGGAAGATTCTGAATGAGATGAGTTACACAGTAACTGGGAACAGGTGTGTCTCAAGACAGGGCAGGCTTTAGAGCCGTGGTGCATAGGGGAGCTAATAGTCATACTCTACTCCAAGGCACCTGACAACAACCACCACCACCACTCTCAATTTCTAAAGAAAAGTCTGCTGATTGCAAGATACGTTAAATATTGCCCAACCCTTTCAGTGTATATCGATTGGTTAAGAATGATTGTTTTTCATTTGGTAGCCCAGTTCATTATTGACATGGGTGTCAACTCAAAGGAAACCAACCTGGGAAATCATTCTTGAAAGTCAGAAATCTTACTGATATAAAATTCTAATTGCATATATGCTCCAGTTCACTGTGTTTGTCTTTTAGTCAGTAGAGCCGAGTGACGTGAAGAACACGGCGGCAGCATCGGCACCAGTGTCAGCAGCTGCTGACCCACCCAGTGCTGAGAAGGAAATCGACCCTAGCAACATCCCTACGGCTATCAAGTACCAGGATGACAATTCTCTGGCCCACCCAAATGTAAGATCCTTAAACCCGAGCGTGTCGCTTTGTGTCTGGTTGTGGGAAGTGAGTCCAAACTGTTGTCTCTGGAGCTGGCATAGAACGTTGGGAGAGGTAAATTCCCGTGTCCCTCTGCATTAGAATTGGAGAGCTTGCCTCTGATAACCTTTGGAGTTATGATAACCCGTTGAGTTGTCATATATATTTTAATCCTGTCACCCCAGATCTTCTTGTCTGACTTCTGGTATTCTCTCTTAGTGATAAAAATAGACAAAGAAGAATTTTTTTTTTAAATGAGGCCCTGAAGGATCTAACTCTGGCTTTACTCTTGGTTTTTGTTGACTATCAACTTGTCACTGATGTTCTTTTCTGCTGTGTCCTCTGATTCTGTTGTATCTTCGGCAATAATTACAGGAAATGAACTTCATAAACCTAAAGTGCAGAATTATTAACCAATGGTATTAATGTTAGTCCTTCTACTCTAAGAATTTTTGCTTAATTCCAAATAGATGAACTTTTTTTCCAGTTCAGAAATCGACAAGAATTAAACAGCATCTTAACCTTGTGCTGAAATACCTGTCCTAAAGTGAATTGTACTATATACAGTCCAATCGAAGTTACTGGCAGGTGGTAACTTTTCTTTCTGTTTCTTTTTTCAGTTATTTATCGAGAAAGCAGAGGCTGATGAAAAGTGGTTCAAGAGATTAATTGCTCTCCGACAAGAAAGGCTGATGGGCAGTCCTGTGGCCTGAGTCGTAGATGTATGTTTTCATTGATAGTAACGTTGGAAATTGAGGGCTTTATTCACTAGTCATTTTTGCTCTTAAAATGAATTTAATTGATTATATAAAAAGGGAAATTCCCTTTTGTTCTTTTCCATGTAGGTAGGCTTCATGTTTATTGCTTTGATCTCAAGTAAACACTGTGTATATTAAAACTAGTATAAAATCTTAGAGTGCATGAAACTGTCATCTTGTTAACAAAGTTAATCATAAGATATTTGTTGATATAAAAGATGAAGAGCAGTGTTCCTGTGTAAAATTATCAAATTTTAAGTTTTCATTTCATGAATTGCTTAATGTCCCAAATGTAAGAATCAAATAATATCCTAAAATAGGAGATTTCATGTATCTTATATTTTAGAAGCATTTCAAACTCTTTATGTCACCTGACTACAAGTTTTGTCATCTTGAGTAACATTTTAAATAAACTACAGGTGAGCATGGTACAAGGATGAAAGATTGTTTTTAAAATGCCTTCAAATAAATTGATTTTGCTTACAGATCAGCTCTGTGATCTAGCTTCTCTGAAATGTGTTAGAAGAGTACAGTGTGTTCTTAATGCCACCTTGTTGGCCAGGAAGCCTGGTGGCACAGTGGTTAGGCATTCAGTCGCCAAAAGGTCAGTGGCTTGAACCACCAGCTGCTTGGTTTGCTTGCGTCCAAAACATGCAGCTTTAGAAATCCCACGGGTTAGTTCTACACCGTCCTGTCAAATTGTTGAGTCAAAATCTACTATATAATAGAGGGTGCACTGAGCCAACGCACCACATACACAGGAGGGAGAATCGTTTCGTAAAACCTAGTAAGAACTCTTACTTCAGTCTTTCTTAACCAAGTGCTGTTCCCCTCCAGAGGCCACCAGCTAATGGAGCTTGTGTAGGGCTGTCATGGCTGAACACCGATCACCCTGCATTCTGTCCTGAGCATACCAGAGATGAGCACGGGTAGGCCTTCAGTTCCAAAACTAGTTTCCAACAGTTGACATGTGTGTTTCCCTTTCTTACAGTGCACTGTTTTCTCATCTCTTTTTAATTTAGTCTCTCTGAGGTTTGTAGTTCACAGCCCATGGTAAGTGTGGAAAGTCCTTTGGGGTAGAATAACCAAGATACACTCTTTCGTGTTGTCCAGTCAGAGACAGGTCCTGGCTGACCCTACAGTGGGTTTTCCAAAGCTGTAAATTGCATGGGAGAAGCTTGCCCATCTGTCTCCCATGGAGCAGTGGGTAGCTTTGAACTGCCTGCTTTTGGGTTGTCAGCGCAACTCCTTACCACTAAGCCACCAGAGTTCCCTAACCAATATATAGGACAGACAATTTAATATAATCATTTTTCTACCTCTGGAACTACTAAAATTTTAATCTCTGTTGAAACTGAAAAATTTAAGAACAATCTCTAAAGTTACAGGAAATAATCTAGTGATGAATAGTTTTCCTTAGCTGAAAATAAAGTAAAAGTGTCCAGTATAAACTGCAGTTTGTGTGGTTTTTAAGCATGGATATTGAAATTTTTAATGACCCAACGCAAAGAATTTCCACTTCTGAGGAAGTTGGAGTGTCGTTCTTCGCATAACTCAGGGCTGTGAGCGTGCATCGCCTCTGGGAAAACAGCAGCGGCTTTCCTCGGGGCCCTCGACGATTCCCTGGAGAACCGGAGTTTGGCAGTTTCTCTCCGTGTGCCTGATGTTCCTCATCTGTAATACAGGGGAAAGATTATCATCAGCTCTAATTATGCTTCACACCAGCATCTCTTTGTGGCAGATTTTCCAAATGAGGAAGCTAGGGCTTCCATAGATTTGTAATTCACAGGTGCATTTTCATGGAGAAGAGAAAATCAAGTTACTTTTATTTTACAGTGAACTAAACTTTGGGCCCAGCAGGAAGTCAGTGGCTGCCTCTCTCGTTCATGATCCAGCATGATTCATTACGTTGTATTATTAACTGCGTTTACCTTCATTCCTTCCGAAGGCCACAATATTGCTACACAAGCCAGATCAGATTTAATGAGAAAGACTTCAGCACTATCACACGTATCACCAAACTCAAAGTAGTCGACGCATCCTGGCTTTGTTTAATATCCTCATATAAGGTGTCCGTAAAAACAGAACAGTCCTTTTCCTGTCACTTGATTAATGATAACAATTTGGACTTACATGAGACCTCAAGGGTTGTTTACATCCTTTTAATACCAATTTTTTAGAGAATGATGGGCACTAATAATACAAGTTGTGTTTCGTTTCGGATTGCCTAGTATATTCTCAGAGAAAATGAAAGAGAGACCGGGTTCCTTGTGCTCTAACAGAGCGAGGCAGGTATGAGCGCAGGACAATTTCAGTTGGCCTTTGCTTCAGTGTCGTAGTGTGTGAAATGAACATACTTAATAGCGAGCTTGTCTGCTTTGATCTTTCAGCAAAACGACATAAAAGAAAGCATCTTCATAGAAAAGCTATTTTGGTGGTGGTGGTAGCCATGGTGGTAGTGTTTTTATGTCAAGGTACTTTTTATCACAGCCATTAAAACGAAATTCGGAACAGCAGTGATTTGAACACTACACCCCAGGATCAGTGTTGTTCTTGCGCCTGTGCTTGACGAGCTAACAGAGCCCCTCCTGGCTCTGTCTTCCGCCTGCCTCGTCCTCCCTGCCTGCTCTGGCCTCAGGAACCCTCCTTGTTCTGTAATTAACAATCCACCAGCTCCCTAACTTGTGCCTGGCACGTGGGGCTCCAATAATGAATTCACAACAGATTTTGCCTCAAGAGGCTTAGTTAGGAAGACTGGACATGTACTCACACACACAC